TACGCATTTGGTGGCATTATCTGTTAGGAGAATCCTTCAAATTATTTAGTGATCACAAGAGTCTGCAGTATTTGTTCACTCAACGGGAGCTGAATATGAGGCAGCGCCAATGGTTAGAGTTTATAAAAGACTATCAGTTCTCTATACAGTACCATCCAGGGAAAGCGAATGTGGTGGCCGATGCACTTAGTCGCCGACCTGTTGGTAGTCTTTCTGCTCTATTCACTACTGAGTGGAATGCTTTGAAGACGATGAATGAGTTATCGGATGCTTTCATGACTTACGTGGTAGTTACACCTTCTATTATTCACAAGGTTTTGAAAGCACAACTCACGGATCAGCAGTGCATTGACAGAGTTGCGGAGATAACTTCTGGGGAAGTTCCATTTTATTATGTTGGGACTGATGGAGGTTTGAGGTACAAGGGACGGTTGGTGGTACCTTCTGCTGATGATTTGAGGAAGGATGTGATGACTGAGACTCACCACTCTGAGTTTTTTATTCATCCAGGTGGGGACAAGATGTATCAGGATATGAAGTGGCAGTTTTGGTGGGCAAGTATGAAAAAGGACATTGTTATTTTTGTCTTTTGGTGTAGTACTTGTCAGATGGTTAAAATTGATCATCAGTGGCCGCCAAAAGCTCTACAACCACTACCGATACTAGAGTGGAAATGGGATAGCATTTCTATGAATTTTGTGGAGGGATTGCCTAATTCTTTTAAGGATCACAATTCTATTTGGGTCATCATGGATAGATTGACTAAATCAGCTCATTTCTTGCCTATTCGCACTGACTTCACATCGAAGCAGTTGGCAAGACTTTACATTACAGAAATTGTAAAGCTGCATGGCATCCCGTTGTCTATTATATCAGACAGGGATTCGAGCTTTTTGTCAGGATTCTGGAAGAGTTTTCAGTAGGCTTTGGGTACAGAATTATATCTTAGTACTGCTTATCATCCTTAGACTGATGGACAGACTGAGAGGGTTAATCAGATCATGGAGGATATGTTTCGGTCGTGTGTTCTTAATTTTTAGGGCCACTGGGAGGATTATTTGTCACTAGTGGAGTTTGCATATAACAATAGTTTCCAGAAGACTATTGGTATGGCACCGTTTGAGGCTTTGTACGGTCAACCGTGTCGATCGCTTGTTTGTTGGATGGAGGTTGGCGAGAGCAAATTCTAGGGTCCAGAGTTCATTAAGGAAACTTTTGAGACGATTACTCTTATTCAAGATCGTATGCGCACTGCTCAGAATCGGCAGAAGAGTTATGCCGATCGTTGCACACGTGCTTTGGAGTTTTAGGTTGGGGATCAGGTTTTACTTAAAGTGTCTCCTATGAAAGGAGTAATGCGCTTTGGGAAGAAAGAGAAGTTGTCACCGCGGTTTGTCGGTTCATTCATGATTATGGATCGAATTGGAGTTGTTGCTTATCGGTTGGCACTTCCGGATAATTTGGATCCTGTGCACAATGTGTTTTATGTTTCCATGTTGCCGAAATTTTTGAGAGATGAGGATCGGTATCAGCATATCCATGTTGGGGAGATTGTGTTGCAGCCGGATGCAACTTATTTGGAGCCACCGTGTCGTATTGTCGACCATCGGGATCAAATCCTTTGTAATAAGGTTATCCCTTTGGTGCGTGTTTAGTGGAGTCATCACAATGAGGCTGAGTCTACTTGGGAATGGAAGGATGTTATTCGCTCGCAGTTTCCTAAAATATTGGAAGATGGTAAGACCGAATTCCGAGGACGAAATTCCTTTTGTTAGGGGGGAAGAATGTAATACCCCTAAATTTAAAAAGGAGAGTCTCGGTATTTTAATTATTGTTTTCTTACATTTTTAGTTGATTATTTGATTTTTGGTTAGTTGCCTATTTTGCTTAATTGTTAATTGGTTATTTTATTTGTATTATTTGAATTAATTGTTATGTATTTGAATTAATTGTTTAAGTGTTTATTTATTTTTAATTAACTGGTTAATTATTTTTATTGTTGTCTGATTAATTTTTTTTAATTATATGTTTGTTTAAGTGGACTTATTTGGTTTAAAATTATATGTCGTATAGGTTAGGGTTTTTCTTTTATGAAATTGTGGTTAGCCGAGTTAGTCTCCATCTCTTAATACACTTCGACTTAGGTTTAAGTGTGGCCTATAAATATATGTATTAAGTTATGCTTAGGGTTTTAAAACCCTATTCACGAAAGTGGAGGCAGAGAGAGAACCAAGGAGGGTTTACAGTAGTCGGATTTATCCGGAGAATTTAGGAAGACGACGGTGCAAGGTTTCAGATTGAGACTTAAAGGCAAGTTTTATTCCTAACTCTCTCCCTTTGGCTCATGTTCTTTACATGTCTAATACAATTTCAGGAATAAATAAAGATTAAAATTAATCTGGTTTTCATGTCTGAGATACTTTAAACAGGTGGTGTTCACAAATTGTTTATTGCTCGTTTTAAATTCTTTCTTTCTTAACTCATAATTTAATTCATGTCAATTGATGTACAAAGAATTTAATTAGTTTGGAACACATTGGCAAACACTAAAATTAATCTGGTTTGCATGGTTGAGTTGCTTTAAATTGTAGGTGTTCAGGAATGGCTAATTGCTCGGTTTAAGTTCTTTTTGCATAATTCATGTTTTAATTTATGTTGGTAATTGAATAAAGAATTTAATTGTTTCTGGAACATACTGGGACCTAGTTTAAACACCTAGGTACCTTAGGAATGAAGGATAGTTCATCAGAAAATCGCCGGACTTGAAAGAGACGAAGGAATAGGAAGAGAGCCGGCTCCCGTTGGAAGGGAGCAGGCTCCCCTAAGCAAAGAACAGGCTCCCTGAAAGAGGGAGCCGAATCTAGGGGCCTTGGAGGTGGCTCCCTATTGTGGGGAGCCAGCTCCATGATCTAGGGAGGCGGCTCCCTCGAATATTTTTATTTTTTTGGCTTTTCATTGACCTGTTTGGCTACGGTGCTTGGATTTTGACGTTTTAGGTCTAGGTAGAAGCTGTATTGGGGGTATTCAGGGATGTCCTAAGCCTTAGTTAATCTTTTGAGAGCAGGTTAACAGAAAACTGACCAACTGATGCTTATACTTGAACCGTAGACAAATTTTAACTAAATTAGTTTACTGTTTCTGGATGGAAAGGATTTTGAATTGCTTAATCTAAGGATAGCAATTCTCAGTGACAATTTCTCAGTTAATTATGTTCCAGTGTTATAAAACAAGCATGTGAATTTATATATTCTAGTATGCTTATTTGGAATTAAATTAATTTAATGTTTCTGGATGGAAAGGATTTTGAATTGCTTAATCTTAGGATAGCAATTCTCAGTGATGATTTATCAGTTAATTATGTTCCAGTGTTATAAATTAAGCATGTGAATTTATATATTCTATTATACTTACTTAGAATTAATTGGCTTACATATATAACCTGTAATATCAACTATTGGACTTTGCAGAGTAGTATCGAATAAGCCTGTTAATTTATAAAATTTTATCATGCTTGATATGGAACAATTGATGTTTATAGTTAATATTTAAATATCGATTGTGGAATATATGAATTAGTTGATAGTTACATTTATTACTCGTGTTATCAACTGCTGGATGTTTGGATTGTATGCACCAGTATGGGACGGTGGCATACTAGGGATGGATTAGCTCAAATCGCTAAGTCCTACCTATTTTGGAATAAGGAAACGGATTATGAAAATAAAATCCTATTTATATGTAAGTCTATGCGGCTGAACAAGTTGAACAGCTAACTGAATTTATTATAGATGGATAGTATGGAATTTAGATATATATATCTTTATGGTACCGCCATATGAGCTTGAGTCTCAGAGTCGACGGTTAAGGAGCATATATACAGTAGGATGCGTAGCTAGATATGATAGGTTGAGGTATACCCTGTTAGGCTTAGGTACTCATGCCTTTGCATGTTGCCTTCTATTCAGGTTGAGACCCCCTGCATAGTCTAGTGAGAGTCCCGTAGTGTGGATATATATATGTACGGATTACATAGCTATTGTTGAGTTGTTTAGGATATACATGCGTATCGAGTCTCTACTTGGATTGTAGTAGGATAGAACTTGTTTGTGGGCCTGACCCACTTCTATTATTCAGGTGTTTGTCAGTTCCAGGCATAGAGATTGTTCATGCTGAGCAGAGACAGCCACTCATTCTTCCAACGATGTAGGATCTCTCTTTATAGTTTAGTTCTGGATTTCTTTTAGTTTTCTGTTTCAGTTTGGGATATTATTAGGGGTCCACTGGATGGATTCATGAGTTGTTAAACTATTGGAGGTTTTAGATTATATGGATTTTCAGTACTTAAGTTTAAAGGATTATATTTTTGGAATTCTTTCAGCTTTTAATTATTTAATTCTTAATTCATTTTGTAATCAGTGTTCATTTAAATATTAATTGTTTGATGTCCCCTCGGGTTTGGGCTTGGGCCTGATCAACCCATGTTTCTAATTCGAGGGGTATCACAAAAGCTATAGAAGAATTAATTAACGCTTTAAAATCGAATCATACTTGGGACCTTGTTCCTAAGCTTGTTGATACTCAAGTTGTTGGTTGTCGTTGGATTTTTACTGTTAAACAGAAGCCTGAAGGAACTATTGACCATCTTAAAGCTCGACTTGTTGCTAAAGGCTACACTAAGACTTATGTCCTTGATTATACTGAGACGTTCTCTCCTGTGGCTAAGCTGAATTCTGCTCATGTGATAATCTCTCTTGCAACTAATCTAGACTGGTCACTTCATCAACTTGATGTTAAAAATGCCTTTCTACATAGTGACCTTAATGAGACAGTCTATATGTCTCAACCACCTAGGTTTGAGTATAAGGGGTAGTGTGTATGTCATCTCAAGAAGTCTATTTATGGCCTCAAACAGTCCCCTCGTGCATGGTTTGATAGTTCAAGTAGTGGTAGCTCATGGTATGACCTGAAGCCAAGCTGACCACTATCTCTTTTTTAAGAAAATGAAACGTGGTATTGTGATTCTTGTGGTGTATGTAGATGATATTGTTATCATCGGTAGTGACAAAGATGGGATACAAGTTTTAATCCATCACTTGAGTTCTGGCTTCCTTATTAAGGATTTGGGCAAACTTTGGTATTTTCTAGGAATTAAGGTGGCTCGGTTAAAACAAGTCATTAGTCTTTCTCAGTGGAAGTATACTCTTGATCTCTTACAAGATACTGGATATCTTAGTTTAAAACCTGTAGTTACACCCGTGGAGACTAATGTAAAACTTAAGGTGGATGATGGTGACCCACTCGATGATCCAGAAATGTATCGGAGACTCATACGTAAACTTATTTACCTCACAATCACTTGTCCAGACATCTCCTAAGCAGTCAGTGTTGTGAGCCAGTCCATGACCAGTCCTCGGGTACCTTACATGGAGGTAGTTGTATGCATCTTGAAGTATCTCAAGGGTGCTCTAGGACGTGGTCTGCTTTATCGATCTTCTGGACATCTTCGGATTAAGGGATGTACAGATACAGATTGGGCCGGTTCTCTTTTTGATCGACGGTCCACCACGGGTTACTGCACCTTCATAAGAGGAAGTCTAGTAACTTGGAGGATTAAGAAACAGTTAGTTGTGGCTCGTTCCAGTGCTGAAGCAGAGTATCGTGCCATGTCACACACTGCCTGTGAACTTGGTTGAAAACTATTTTACAGGAACTTGGGATTTTAGTCTAGTACCCAATTACTCTCAATTGTGACAATCAGGCAGCTATTCATATTGCTAGCAATCCAGTCTACCATGAGAGGACTAAACACATTGAAGTAGATTACCATTTCATTCGATCTAAAGTTGACTCGAATGAGATTGTTACACCTTTTGTTCCTTCTGGTAGACAGCTGGCAAACATCTTCACTAAGGCACTTCCCAAGAACTCTATTGATTCCATATGTAACAAGCTAAGAGTTATTGACATTTGTTCTCCAGCTTAAGAGGGAGTGTTATACAGTATTGTATGAGTTGTCACACGTGTACAGTTAGTATTGTATGAGTTGTCACCTACCCCTCATTACCATATATAAAATTACCATGTATACGGTTTTCTTGTTCTCCACTCACCGACTCCCGTAGCTTTTCCTATATAAATATTATTGTATTATTGTATTACTTACTCAATAACATATATATTTTCATATATTCTTTTTCTCTTTCTCTCTTTCAACAATGAGAATATTAGCTCCTCAAGTATGTCATAATGGATCAATTCCATAAGACTTTTTAGTAAATCACATGAGTCTTACCTCAATCTTTGATTAACCATTATCTGTCCCTCATATTAATGGTTTTAGATTTATACCAAAAAAAGATTATGACATGCGATAAATCTACATTTTAGCAATAGAAGTATTTTATATATGCAAACATACCATTAATGGAGTGGCTCATTTCGACAAATATATCACTTTTAGATGAAGAAGTGATAAATTCAAAACTCACTGCAAATTTCAATTTAACTGCATATCTTGAACAAGCTGTCAGCTTTCAAGAAATAAGCAAAAGAATATTCAAAATGAGCATCAATAATGTGATCGATGAGATTAGTTCTAAGGTACCATATTTCTTTCAACATAAATGAAAGACTACTAGATTTTCATATGCTACCTATAATGCATTGATCTATATAAGTTTTACCATAACCTTTCAATCAATCCCTAACAAATCCTTTGATAAAAGGATTCAGTTCATTGATTAAGTTTATAACATGCGATTAATCAATAAACTTGGTGACATAAGTATAAAGTATTTTATAAATTTAGACATACCTTTAATGAAATAATTATTTCAAGGAACATACCAGAGTCTTAGATAACCTTGAAGCCACACCAAAAATGAAATGAATTATAAACCATATTCATGTGAATCATAGGAATATGGTGTTCATCATTTACAATGACTAGCTTACTAGAAGTACAATTTCATCCAATTGCCCTTATGCCCACCAACATAGGATATTAGGTTACACGATTCCCCACTAATTAATAGGTATTAAAGAATTATGATCACCTTTAATAGGCTGGATGCCAATTCAATCCACCTTGTAATCTTCTCATTGATCAAATTAAAATTTGATTAGATGGTGTTTTGTCACCTAGAGTGTTGGATATGGCTTAGTCATGGCATAAGTGATTGTTCAATCGTCGAAGGAAATTTTCATTTTCCCTTTCCACACGGTAATTTTTTTTTTTCTTTTTACCATAAAAATCCTTGATATACGGTTGAAACACCGTTGGATAACAATTAAGATGAAGCCATTGGAAAGAAAACTATTTTCAAATTGTTGGAACTGATATATTAAAACGGTGAGTATCGAGGCTTAGAGGCGCGTAATCGCTTCTTGAAAATAATTGAAGCCTTTCCCATGTTCAAACAGAAAACAACTGACAGTATTATTTCTAGGATTTAACTAAGCCCATATATCAAATCTGTATGTTCTTGAATGTTGCACTTCTCTTCATGAACCTGTGTATTTATCTCTGTCCGATCAACTGAAAATATAAAACTCACACACTCAAACTCAATAATTTGAAAACACTTTTTCAAATCTCTTTTTTTTCTCTCTTACTTGTATTAAGAGAGTGTATCTGTTGTAGGCTTCATAGGCCTACTATATATACTCATATATTTAGAAGACATTAATTAAGTATTTAATGTAACTTTAAACTTAACTCATAAATAACATATTAATATAGTAGATTAAATGTATCAGGTGAAGAACTTTAAAGTTTGTAAAATCAATACTTTGTCTTCATAAATATAGAGTTACTATATTAATTTGAAACATAACTCCAACAACATCCTCCAGTCGATCTTTTAAACCGTTACATAATCCCATTGATCCACATCAATCCCACTAGGCATATCTTCCTCACCTTGTATCTTTTTCAACCTCCTCCAAGTTACTCAGTTGTATTTACTTTAGTCCACGTGCCTTTTTTGATGAAATCTGTTTACTTTAAACTCAGTTTCAACCTGATTGTTTTACTTCAACCCACACACCTATTTTGTCCCAACCTTTCGCTTTTCGCCTTTGACTATCGGTTTATTGTTACAGAATCCGGCCTCTTCAATTGATATTCAATCACTCAACATATATATGTTATATGATTTCTACATTGAAAAATAAACAAAACTCATCTACCCAAGAGTGAAAAGTTATGATAATGAAAACCCCACTCTTAAGTTCAGATTCTCTCCATAAAATATGAATATCTGAAGTCCCTCAAAGAGATTTTAAAGCTGCTCACTCCAACATAAGATGAAAAATATGAAAGCCCTAAGAATAAGCCATAGGTTTAATGTGTGACCTAAGCCTTTTTATAAATCCCATATACTTATCCTCCAAGCATAGTACTTGTTATCCAAGTATTAGGTCTTACCATGTAGGAAAAATCAGGTTTTGGAAACTTTTCCCATGACTGACATTTATGTCGACCAAACTAGTTATGATTTCGATCGAAATATCAAAGAGTTCGATCGAGCTTAATGCAGTTTCCTTTCATTGAACTTGTTTAGTCCTCAATCGATCGAAAGAAGTCTAAGTTCAAGCGAATATTTTCAAGCTCTCGGGATCTCGGTAATATATATATTGTGTCGATTGAAGTGGGAGCTTATGTGGATCGATCGAGACAATAGGAATTTCCTTATAAATAAATAAATAAATAAAGGTTTCATGGATTTTTAGGTTCCAAAAAGTTTATTCATGCATAATGTAATGACCTGGATTTTTCGGATAAATTTTTTTTCCGTTGTCTTTTCCCTTCTGAGTTTGGATTCTTGTCGATTAGTGTCGTCTCGAGTGCTCTGGAGTGATTTCTGAGACTCTTTTCTGTGGATTGACAACTTCCTTTGAGGACTGAGTCATTCCTACATTTTTCATTTTTTGACACTATTCATTTTTTATCTTTTTCCCTATTCCGTCTTTTCCTCATTTGTCACTCTGTTTGCGTAACCACACTTCTTGTGTTCGGAGTTGGTTTCTGACTTCACGTATCTTTATTCCCAATGATTTCTATGAGATACGTATCTTTACTTTCGTGAGAAAGTACTCTGGTTGCTGCCGGTGTCCAAAGGGCATAAATGTAAAGTTTTTTGGAAATCTTTTCTTTTCTTAGGGTGTTTTTCATAAATATCTTTTGAAGATATTTTATTTCAGGGGTATTAAAGAAAATATCTTTTGGAAGATATTTTCATTCTAGGGCAGTTTCGCAGTTTTCATTTTTTGGAGGGCTCATTGTGCAATTAATGAAAGTTATTGCTCAATGCCTTCTTTTGAGCCTGGATCCTCGTATGGGATTCATTTTCACATTTCGTCAAATCATGGACTCTTAGAATTTCCTCCTGGACAATGTTTTCCAGTTTCAGGGTTTTTGGCCCCGGTTTGCGCCAAACTTGTTTTGGGCATAACTTTCTGCTCGGGACTCGGTTTTCAACGCTGTTTCTTTTTTTATTCATATTTTCTCATTTGGAATCTTTTTTGTTCACGGAGTTTTTCCATTTAAGCGCGTCTGTGAGAATTCCACTTTTCTTGACTCGGCGGGGCCCGTTTGGGGCACTTTTTGAGTTTTTCTATAAATAGGAGGTCTTAGAAAGAAAAATCAGATTTTTCTCTCTCTCTCCTCTCTCATGGCCGGTCCAAGCTCCATCCATGGCTGCCATCTTCTCTTTCCTCTTTTGGACTTCCTCCCCTCATTAAAAAGTGGTAATGCCTTTGTGTTTATTGTTCCCTTCGGCGAGGCCTTCGATTCCAACCGATTGGAATCTTGTTTTGGCCGTTTCTTGAGTTCGGGTTTGAAGTCAAGTTGTGTTTTTGATGGGGCTTCCTTGGGATTTATGTTCGTGGTGTTGTCTCCGACAAAACTTAGGAGTTTTGTCGAATTCGAAGCCGATTTATTTTGGTGGGGATTTGAGATTTCATCTCAAATGGAGGTAGGGGGTGTCTTAGGATTATATTTGTGTTGTAATGATGATTATATGAGCTTATAAGACTTGTATGCATGCTTTAGTTCAAGATCTAGAAATTAATTTAATTAATTTCTTTGTTTAAGGTTTAATTTCCATGATGATATGTAAATTGGAATTAGATTGTGACATGCAAGAAAATTTGGCTTTGGTATGGTTGTTGACATATATTAAATTTGGGTCATTTGGTTAAGAATTACAAATTTTATTTAATATTTATCTTTGGTGAAAGTTTAATTCATATGGTCATAACAAGCATAAAATCAAGTTGTAATGTGATATTTAGATAGGTCTTGGCATGTTCTCTAACATATCTTAAATTGAGAGCATTTTGAATTGTTTAGAAATCTAGAGGAAATTAATTAATTAGCTTAATTAATTTTGTTTTAAGTGTTTTAATCACTTAATTGGTCGTTTGGAGTTATATATGTGATGACCATGACATGTCCTTCAACATATATTAATTTGGGGTTATTTGGAATTAATTTAGAATCTAGAGAATTTGATTATCTTTGCTTAATTAAATTCTATATTTTTGCTCCATGGATTTTATTACGTTTTGGAAGTTATTTCTATGTTTAAATCATGGACTTGGATTTGTTGTATGTTCATTTGGTTATATTTTGAGCATTGGATAACATAGTTGTTATATTAATATTCATGAGAATGTGTTTTCCTTAATG